TCTGTGATTAAGTACAAATCTGTGTATATAGGGAATAAAGCTTACCTGGCTCCAAAGAATTCCAGTAGCTAGAGTCCCCTCACCATTCCCATCCAAAAGGAAATAATAAAACAAACAAAAAAAATCACAATTTGGAGGGAAAAAAGGCAAGCTGGGAGCTGGTGGCATGCCTATAATCCTAGCTTACCCATGAGGCTGAGATCTGAGGATCATGGTTCAAAGCCAGCCCCTGGGCAGGAAAATCCATGAGACTTTTATCTTCTATTAATCTCCCAAAAGCCAGAAGTGGAGCTCTAGCTCCAAGTGGTAGAGCACTAGCCTTGCGTGAAAGAGTTCAGGGATAGTGCCCAGGCCCCAAGTTCAAGCCCCCCCAAAAAGAAAAATAAGAGCAGTAGAAGCATTAATGCAACAGTCCAGGAAATAAAGAATACAGAAAAACAACAGAATGCTTTTAAAGCTGAAAGACATGATTTGATACTTAGCAAAATAAAGTTTTAAAAAATCCTCAACTTGCACACTGGTGGTAATATTCTAGTTACTCAGGAAGCTACTATCTGAGATCACAGTTCAAAGCTAGCCTGAACAGGAAGTCTGTGAGACTCCTAACTCCAATTAACCACCAGAAAAACGGAAGTGGAACTATGGCTCAGTGGTAGAGAGCTAGCCTTCAGCAGAAAAGCTAAGGGACAGCACTCAAGCCCTGAGTTCAAGGCCCAAAACTGAAAAAACAAACAAACAAACAAAACCCTCATATCAAGGCAGATGCTTAATTTTTGGGGGTGTGTATATATGTTGGTACTCAAAAGCCTGGGTGCTGTCCCTTAGCTTTTTTTGCTCAAGGCTGGCATTCTACCACTTGAGTTACAGCTCCACTTCTGGCTTTTTGCTTGTTAACTAGAGATAAGAATCTCATGGAGGGCTAGGATGTGGCAAAAGGTAGAGAGCTTGCCTAGCATACACGAAACCTGGATTCAATTGCTCAGTGCCACATAAACAGAAAAAGTCGCAAGTGGCACTATGGCTCAAGTGGTAGAGTGCTAGCTTTGAGCAAAAGCAGCTCAGGTACAATGTCCAGGCTGTGAGTTCAAGCCCCAGGACTGGCAAAAAAAAAAAAAGTCTCATGGATTGCAGGCATGAGCTCCTTGTACCTAGCCTAATACAATGGAACTTTAGTTTATTGGCATTCTTTAGTGTTGGGGACATTTTTCACAAATTAAACATTCATATATATCTGTATATAACTGTGTATTGTTTTTAAAAAAAAGTATAGACAAGCTGAACACTGATGGGCTCATATCTATAATCCTAGCTACTCAGGAAACTAAGATCTGAGGATCAGTTTGAAGCTAGCCCCAGGCAGGCAAGTCCTTTAGACTTTGATCTCCAAATACACACCAAAAAAAAAAAAAAAGCTGAAATGGACCTGTGGCTCAAGTGATAAAGCAGCAGCTATGAGCGGTAAAGGTCCAGGCCCTGAGTTCAAGCCTCAGGACTGGCGCACACACAAAAAATAATATACACAGAGAAGAGTTGCTATTTTAAAGAGTCAACAGCAGCTTCTTCTGCCCTCTAATGGCATAATTCATCTTAGGAGAATTATTTCATGGTTCAGAAAAACATCCTGAACACTAATTTCATCTGAACGATAAAGAATCTATAGTGAAGGCAGTATAGATAGAGCAGGAAAGAAAGGACAGAAAAAGAGGGTCACCTGGGCGCAGGTAAAGGAAAGGACTTGGAAAGTGTTGTGGGAAGATAAGGGAGTCTTATGTTCCTAGCTACTCAGAATCCTGGCTGAGATCTGAGCATTGAGATTTAAAGCCAGGCTGGACTGGGAAGTCCACGAGACTCTTACCTTCAATTAACCAGCTAGGACAAATGATATGTTTATCCTAGTTTGGACATTAGGCAATATTTTGTGATCCTCCTGCTCTCCACCTCCTGAAAAGCTGGGATTACAGGTGTGAGTAGTCACACTTGGCCTCCACAAAGGAATTTTATTTACCTAATTATCTTTTGTGTCAGTCCTGGGGCTTGAACTCCGGCCCTAGGCACTGTCCTCCCTTTTTTGCTCAAGGCAAGATTATTTTTCAGCATCTGATTTTAACACTTGGGAATCTCTTCAGCATTCTGAAGCACCTCATTTACCGGACACCATTTTTCAAATCTGTTATAAAGGTATTTCCCCCCTCGATTATGAAATCGTTGTACAAAGAGGTTTCAATTCCCTGTCAGGTTAAGAGTACACTGCATGAAGCCCTGGGTTCGATTCCTCAGTACCACCTGAACAGAAACAGTTGGAAGTGGCTCTGTGGCTCAAGTGTTGAGTGCAGGGACAGCACCTAAGCCCCACGTTCAAGCCCCACAACATGCACAAAGCAAAACAAACCCAAACAAATAAAAAACCTAACAGCCTTTACGGTGACAGCACCGGCTCCCATGGTTTGCTTACTGGCATCACGTATTTCTACCACCACTATGTAGATGAGAATTTGCATATTACTTTGCATATTTGCTATGTGCAAGGCCTGGTTTGGCCTCTGGAATATAAACCGCTGTGCTCAGCCACCCGGGAAGGGGGACAACCCAACAGCGCCCACGGGAAGCCTGGAATGAGTACTCGACAGTACTTGCGGGTGCTCCCACACGTCGCGTGTTTAGGGTAGGAGTTATTCAAAACAGCAAGCTCTCAAGTGAGAACAAAATCATGGAAGTGGGAGAAGGAAATTCTTGGTAGTTGAAGGAAACCAAACATGGTAGTTGAAGGAAAACATGGGTGAGGGTGAACGCGACTCCCCCACACAGTAGGGGTAACCTGGATCACTAGCTTGAATATCCAAGGTGGATGGACCCTTGGTCCACAGTGGATTTTCTTGCTTAAAATAACAAGATGGGCAGGGTGCTGGTGGTTCATACCTGTAATCCTAGCTACTCAGGAGGCTGAGATCTGAGGATCGCTAACCAAAGCCAGCCTGGGCTTTGAGACTCTTGTGTCCAATTGACCACCAGAAAACCAGAAGTGACACTGTGGCTCAAGTGGTAGAGAGCTAGCCTTGAGCTGAAGAGCTCAGGGACAGTGCTTAGGGCCCAGAGTTCAAGCCCCATGGCCAACAACAGAAAAAAAAAAAAAAAAAGAAAAGAAAAAAGAAAACCAGAAGTGGAGCTGTGGCTGCAGGTGGTAGAGCACTAGCCTTAAGCAGAAGAGCTTAGAGACAGCACCCAGGCCCTGAGTTCAAGCCCCACACTGACAATGAACAAACAAAATGAAAACCAAAAACAGGATGTAATATATCCAAGAGCCACAGCAAGTGTCTTAAGACTTGCAAGCACCACCTGGCACAGTGGCTGGCCAAAAGTTATGCCTTAAATTCTTTCTCAACTTGAATTCCATCATGCAACAGTCAGATACTTCGGGCAGGATGGAGTTAGGCTAAACAAAATGGGTGACAGCAACAGGATTTGGGGACATTAGCATATGGCTGCAACTAGACAGTGACTGAGGGCTGAGTGGCAGATCACCCGTGAGAGACAGAATTTAGGATCAAGCTGTTCCAACAGTACAGCCTACATGGACTGGCTCCAGGTGACAACTCCAAAAGCTGCCTCAAGACTTGGACTTCAGTTAAGGTAAAGGCGCTCAGATGACTGAGCCTGGGTAATGTTACCGGTCCCAGATAAATTTTGATGATAAAACTCAAGTTTGGGTTACCCAGATCTCTTCCCTAAATGTACGGAACAGCAGTTGGCTCAAAGATTCGAGCATTGAGCTGGGCGCTGGTGGCTCATACCTGTAATCCTAGCTGCTCGGGAGGCTGAGATCTGAAAGGTAGAAATGTATGTGAGATTATCTCCAATTAACCAGTAGAAAGCTGGCAGTGGAGCTATGGTTCAAGTAGTAGAGCACCAACCTTGAGCATGCACGCAGGCCAATACTGAGGCTTAAACTTGGCCTTGGCACTGTCCCTGAGCTTTGTTTGCTCAAGGTTGGTGCTCTAGTATTGAACCACAGCTCCCCTGCCAGCTTCCTACATGCACTCACACACAGTCCAGCTGGCCTATTGCAGAGGTGGCAGGTGTTGTGTGGGGACAGCTGAAGGGCTGTGTGTAAATAGACGTGCTTCAGCAGCCTGTCAGTGTGGAAAGTTGGTATTTCCCAATAGAGCCGCATCCCAGAACAATCATGTTCTCAGGACTTGTGTCTTAGAATTTTTTCCCCTTATTTAATATTATTTAAAATGTGTTGCACTAAAAGCCACACATTCAAAAAAGATGTTTATTGCTCACAATCGTGCCCCAACAATGGCACAAGTGGCTGTGCACATGGCACAGGGTGGAGTCCCACCTTAGCTCAGTGCAGGTTAACAGAAGCACCTTGCTGTGGTCCAGGCCACTCTCCTAAATATGATTAGAATACTTAATGTCATTATTTTGTCAGTCGTGGGACTTGAACTCTGGGCCTGGGCGCTGTCCCACAGCTCCTCAGCTCAAGACTAGCGCTCTACTTGAGCCACAGCACCACTTCCAGTTGTCTGAGTGGTTTATTGGAGATAAGAGTCTCACGGACTTTCCTGCCCGGGCTGGCTTTGAACCGCAATCCTCAGATCTCAGCCTCCTGAGTAGCTAGGATTACAGTATGAGCCACTGGCACCTGGCTCAAAGGATGTTTTAAATAGAGGAATGGAAGAGAGAAGGCACTATTTCCTTTAAATAATGCAAAACTTCAACATTTGAAAAGTTTACTGAAAACTTTTATTGTAATCAAAAAGTGACATAACGGGGTTGTAATGAATTCAGCAAATCATTCTGCTGATATTTTAGAACTGATATCAGCTTTTGCCAGGCAATTAAAAAAATTCAAATGTGAAAATTTCACAGTACAGTAAACTCCACCCCAACTAATTTAATGGTGGTTAAAAATAATAGGCCCTAGCAAAACCTCTCATGTTCCATGGTCACAACTCACAATTCTGTACAAAAGTTCGTGTTATAAAGCTCTGATGTAAAAATCAAATAATCAAGCAGCAATATTTTAAGTGCAGCACAGGGTCTTCCATGTCATTATTTACAAGGCTTGAATCTCTTTACATTATAACAAAATTTAATACAGATGACTTAGTAATTAAGTCAATTAAAAAAAATCTGTCCTTCTACACGGTGACAGATTTCACTTTTTGGTCATCTTTCTCCTTCTCCTTTTCTTTATCTTTGCTCTTCTTCGACTTCTTTTTCTTGTGTTTGTGTTTTTGGCTTTTTTCCAATTCTACTTCAGTGCCTGCGTGCTTCTTATGTTTCTTATGTTTTTTATGTTTCTTGTGCTTCTTCTTTTCCTTCTTCTTCTTCTTCTTCTTGCTGTCCTGACTCTCTGCTGAGCTGGCACTGCTGCTGTGACTGCGGGTCTGGCTTCCGGACGGGCTGTGGCTTCGGCTAGGACTCACGCTGGGGCTGCTCTGACTCTGGGTCCTACTCACTCCTGCTTGGCTCAGGGCTGCTGGGTCCACGCTCTCTTTTGCTTTCTCTACAGTTATTTTATCTTTTAGGTCCTTGGAAATGTTCGTGGCCGTTTCCTCTTCTTTCACCGATACATTACTTTCACTGTCGCTCTCATTATAGTCTGGTTCAAAAGCAGCTTCGTCAGTCTCTCGAGTTAAGTCAGAGGAAAGTCTAGAGGAATGGCTTAGCTGGGGTTTAGTCTTAACAGCATTCTTGTCGAGGTGTGCTGTCACCGGCTCCTTTTCTACCTGTGGCTCTGTTGGGATGGGTGGGATGGGTGGGATGGGCATGCTGGGCACACTGGGCACGCTGGGCACACTAGGCAACTTGGCACCACTCGATTCCTTATTGTTCCATGCCTCTGACACATGCTTCTCACGATCCTTGCAGGGATTTTTGTCTACAGCTTTTGTCTCTTCATTTGAGCGTTTAGTATCATAAGGGGCTTTATAATCATGAGGCTTTTTGTCCCTTGAGGGACTAGAATTACTTTTTTTGGAGTCTCCTGTTCCTTTTTTAGGCAAATCTTTCTCCTCCCTCGGCCTACTTTTCTGCCCAGAAGAGTCTTTACTGCGAGGAGGAGAGTCTTTTCTTCTTGATAAGTCACTTCTTTCATCTCTCCGCTTGGAACTAGAATGCTCTCGGTTGTCAAAGTCAGTTTTTTTGTCTCTGTTGGGAGTAAAGTCTTTATTTGAGGAACCACGCACAGAATCGTGCTTATTATCGGAAGGTCTGGACTCTTTGGAAGATTGAGATAGACTTTTAAATGTTCCTTGTTCACTCAGACGGTCCAAATTATTATCTTTCTCTGGTTGAGAGCTATTCTTCCTCTTTTCAGGGTTTTCCTTTTCTAACACTGAATGATCTCGATCTTTGGTCTTGCCCTTCTCACTAGCTGCAGAGTTTTTTGAGCTTTTGACTTCATGCTGCACAAGTTCGTGGCTCACCTCCTTGGTGAGCTTCTGAATTTTCTCTGATGGCTCACTGTCTTTCTCGGTATACTTGACCACAGTGGATGGCTTGGTGCTCACAGTTTTTATAACACTGGACGGTTTTGCTACAGTTGGCATAGGCTGTGTGGATTTCATCTCTTCTTCCTCAGATTCAAAGTCATCTTTGTCCCACTTGGACTGAGGAACCTGGATCATAATAATAACATCTTCAGCAGGAGCGGTGTTGTCATTATTGTATTCTTCCATAGTTTTAATCACAGTTCGCTTTGTGTCTGTTTTTTCTTCACATTTCCGCACAGGACTGCCTCCAGTTGAGCTTGTGCTAGAAACAATTAGGAGATTTTCAATTAATGAAGAAACACTGATAAATGCAAACACACTAACTGAAATGCAATAAATGTGCTTGCAACTTTCAAAGTCCACATAATTCTGCCCTAATAAAGATTATATAGTGACATAGGGCCTAAAAAACAAAACAAAAAAACCCACACATAAAAAACAACAAAACAACCCAAATCCTACAACTTTGTCTTTAACAAAATTTTTCCCTACCATCAATACACTAAGAATGAATATGTTGGGATGAAGGGGAAACTATCTCCCCAGACAGACACTTACACCCATTATCCACTATCACCTATCTATACTAGTATAACAATCCCCCAGCACCCCTTCCACAGCCCTCATCAGATACCTGGTATAATCCACAAGAGTGGAGCTGGAGCCTTCTGTTCCAGTTACTTTCCGCTTAGCCTTCCCTTTGACCTTTTCCTGCTTAATTTTCCCAGATGTTGACTCTGATTTTTCAGATGGTTCTTTTGCACTTGATACATTTTCTGTGCTTCCAATTTTCTTCCCAGTTTCTCTGTTGAGCTTGATTTTCTTGGCTGGAGCCGTTGATGATGCAGCCTTGTCCTTTTCGGGGGTCCTATCCATCTTTTCAACGTCAGGTTCCATTTTGCGTTTAGGAGATGGTTTCACTATTTCTGTTCCTTCTAGTTTAGAGATCTTCATTGAAGAAGATTCAAAATCTTTATCCACACCTTTTTCTTCTGTCTTTCTCTTTCTTTTTTCTCCCTTGCTCTCAAGTGCTTTACTCTTCTCAGGCTTCTTGGCCTTTTCTTCCTTATTGGTTAGCTTTTCTGGTTTCACGTCTTTGGAGTAATCCTTCTTCACCTTTTCCTCTTTGACGGGCTTTGTCTCCTGGTGTTCCTTTGCTGACTTTGAGTGGGCTTTCCTGGGGGTCCCAGGGACCTTTTCGTCCTTCTGAGAGGACGATGATGATGATGGTTTAGCAGCATCAGTCTTTGGAGCCTCCTCTTTGGCCTTTTTAAGTGGAGGTTCAACCCGAGGAGATTTTTCACGTTCCCCATCTAGCTTTTCTTGGGGTCCTTTAGTGGGTTTGACAGCATTTTCTTTTTTGGATGTAGCAGACCCATCACTTTTTCGTTTGGTCTTGTCACCTTTTGCTTTTGGCTTATCTTTTTCTCGCTTGTCTTTTTCAGACATGGATTTAAAAGTGATGGATTCTGCATCCATTGGCTCATCCCTAACAGGTGTAGCATCGTCTCTACTTGGGAGAACAAATAATGTATCTGTCTTAGTTTCTTCAACACCTGAAGGTTCTCTGGATTTTCTAGACGTCTCTAATAACTCTGGGTTCAGAAAGCCTTCGCTTTCTTCTCCCTTTCTTCTTTTTCTGTGCTTCTTGTGTTTATTTCCTTTGCCATCTCCGGGAACATTTTCACTCTCCTTCTCTTTTGATTTTGTGTTATCCTTCTGATTGTGACTGTCTCTGGCTGAAAGCTTTTCTGGGTAACTGCCACCTATATTTCGACTCCTATGACCTTGTCCACCAACATAGTCTTCTCTGCGGCCTCTTGTGAAGGGTGAGTTCCTGATATTGAGAGGTAAAAGTCTCTCTGGAGAAAAGTTCTCTCTGTTTGCTGAGGGTCTAGGTTGTGCTCCAGCAGCATACCCTTTGTAGTACTTTTCATACCACTCTCTGTATTTTCTCTCCCATTCTCGGTAACGGTCTTTCTCAAATGAGTCTCTAAAGTCAACACTCCTCCCATAATATGCTTTCATGTCATAAGGTGGTGGAACTTCTCTGTATCTATTAAAATATTCACGCTCTGTTTCTCCTTGAGGTACATTACGCTTGTTAGGAGACTGGCCCCTGAATGCTTGAGGAGATCTCGATCGTGAATGGTATCGTCTATATGGGGGTGACCTGGACCTAGACCGATGATATCCATGCGATCTAGACCGAGAACGGTAATTTCGACTCTTGCCTCTGCCTCTTCTGGGGTATGGAGGTGATCTCGAATAGGAACGAGAATGTGAGCGGCTGAAGGATCGAGAATAAGAACGTGAACGTGTTGAACCAGATCTTGACTTAGAGTAAGTGTATGAACTTCTTGAATATGATGAACCACTATAGGGAGATTTAGACCTAAAAACAAAAACAATTGATAGTTGAGAAATACATACAAAACAAAATACAGGCTCTTAGGTTCTAACATTCTCCTCTCACACTTTTATCTTTACACCAAGTTTAGTTTTGAATGACTAAAGAGGCACAGTGACCTCTATGGGGATGGAATAAAGGTCACGAATCAGGGCAATTACTTGTTACAAAGCAAAAGTGAAGTCCTTGCAATCCGAGTGGAGTGCATTAATGTACCGTGAGTTATATGAGCTTATTTCATTCAACAAAATGCCAATTAAATTTTAATTTCACTTCCTATCTGATTACTTAAACAGGGGGAGTTCATATTATATCCTATGCTGGTCAAGTCTAACTTTAAAAACAACTTTTAAACAAACCTCCAGGGAATCTTTATAATTGTTTTTTTCTACGAAAGCAACTTTTAGTCTACCAATACTTTGCAATCACACAGGTTAATGTTCCAGCAAGAAGCTGTAGCCTTATGGTAAAGGGTCCTCAGAAATGTTTGCTGCTAATCCCTTATGTCTCTCCTACAAACATTTCCCAGTTACTTCATACGATAGGTAATGTGCTAAGGGACAAGGGAAATCCCCATAACTGCTAGTGCTACACAATAGAATGTACACTGAGACATTATTTCAATAAACAGACATTGGGAAGTAAGTACATGTCCACTTCTATAAACTAGACCGAATCGGAAAATGTTCATAAGTGCAGTGTTATTTATATCCATAGCTAATCCCTGGATATTCAAAGTCCCATTTGTAATTCTGTTGTGAAGGCTTGCAAAACACTAACCTGGAAAATGAGCGCCTACGCTCCTTTTGAATCTTTTTGTATTCCATCAATTCCTTAGCAAAATCATTTGTAAACTCATCTAGCTTGGACTTTTTCTTTTCCCTAGTAAAATAAAGTTAAAGAGTGAAAGTTAACAAAAACCATTTAAGAAAACTAACAAGACAAATGTAATTAGATAATGAATGAAATGAATGAAATTGCCATTAGTTTTTCACTTTAAAACTGTAAATAACTAGGCATCCCTGAGGAAGTTGCGTGTATGGCACTGGTTTAAATTTAGGTGAATTTTCTTGTACTAACTGGAAACACTGGAAAATGTTTCCAAAGACACCTATATTCATGTTATATCAGAAAATGGAAAAAGCGTATAAGAATTTGAAACCGAAATGCTTACTCTTCTTTTAGTCGCCGCTGTTCTCTATAGAATTCTTCCCTGGACAAAGGTGGTGCTTGTGTTGTTGGGATGGTATTTGAATGAGCTGTCTGCACTCCTGATGATACCCAGGGTGTAGATAAGTTGGCAGGTGCAGGTGGAAACCCTGGAGGAGGGACGCTATACCCAGCAGGAGGCGGCTGGCCAGGCGGAAACTGAGGAGAAAACTGTGGGGGAGGAACACCTGGAGGTAGAGGAAGCGTGTGGGGGGGAGGTGGATACAGAGGTGGTGGAGGAACAGGTACGAAGACTGGAGTTGCTGGTAGTGATGGGCCTTGAGTTCTCTGGGATCTTTCGCTGTGGTGTCGCCCACGATTTATACTTCTGGAGAAATAAATTTCAAGATATTATTCCTTTAAGTTCACCAAAAACAAGCAGGCTTGTCTAGTGATCACTATTTTCAAACATAAACACAATAGAGTGAATATTGAGGTATGGCTCTCACACATTTGGAAATGGAACCCTATTTAAGAACCACCAACCAAAAAAGCTGGACTGAGCACTGGGGGCTCACACCTGTAATCCTAGCTACTAAGGAGGCTGAGATTTGAGAACTGGAGTTCAAAGCCAATCCTGGCAGAAAGTCCAAATAACAACCAGAAAACCAGAAATGGAGCTGTGGCTCAACATGGTAGAGTGCTAGCCTTGAGCAAAAGAGCTCAGGAACAGTGCCTAGGCCCTGAATTCAAGTCCTAAGGCCAACCGAAAAAAAGTTGGACATGGTGGCCCACACCTGTAGTCCAGCAACTTGGTAGGCCTAAGTGGGTGGGAAGGACCAGTGGACCGCAGTTCCAGATCAGCCTAAGCTCACACCGAAGTCCTACCTCAAAAGCAAAAAAGAAAACAAACAAAAAGACCCAAAACTTAAAAGCAAAGATGACTAGTTTTAGTATTATAATCAACTGAAAATCTTAATGTTGTCTCTCAAAGGGCTAAGTAAAATCAACAGTGCTGGTTGATATGTCTGAATTGTGCCTCATGAAGAAGCCAAGCAAGCTTCTTTCTGTTACATTCAAGTTCTTTCAATTATAGGCAAAAGAGCAGAAGGGATTTTGATTTTGAAAGCCATGAATGGTATCTACTACCCTCTTTTAATATGCAATCTAGTAATAAAGCAGTTGTTAACTTTCTTTTTTTTTTTTTTTGGTTGGTCGTGGGGGCTGAACTCTGGGCCTAGATGTTGTCCCTCAGCTCTTCAGCTCAAGACGAGTACCCTACCACTTGAGCTGTAGGGCCACTTCTGGCTTTTTTCTGCTTATGTGGTGCCCTACCACTTGAGCTGTAGGGCCACTTCTGGCTTTTTTCTGCTTATGTGGTGCTGAGGAATTGAACCTAGGGCCTCATGCATGTTAGGCAAGCACTCTACCACTGAGCCACCTTCCCAGCCCCAGTTGTTAACTTTCAAGCTTACAAGGTTCAATGGAGCAATAGGAGACATCTATTAAATTTAGGTTATAAAAAACTGGAGGAGCCGGATGCTGGAGACTCATGCCTGTAATTCTAGCTACTCAGGAGGTTGACATCTAAGGATTGTGGTTCAAAGTCAGCCCAAGCAGGAAAGTCTGTGGACTCTTATCTCCAATAAACTGCCAGAAAACTGGAAGTGGTGCTGTGTGGCTCAAGCAGTAGTGTTCACCTTGAGCTGAATCAGAGCTCAGGGACAGCGCCCTAGCCCATAGTTCAGGCCCCACGACCGGGAAAAAAAAAAAAATTCTAAATGTGATTTACTCTTTTCTAGGCATTGTAAGGGCAGCTAACTACTGAAGACTTGAGACAAATAAACCAAACAACCTCCCCTCCCCTCCAGACTGTGCTTTAAATTCCTCTGTATATATTTTAATGTGTTATAAAATAGATGACCATTTTCTGAGATTTAAGCCTACCTGTAGCAGCTCCTCTCCCCTCTTCTAATTTGCTGTGGTGGAGAAACCAGATATCCAAGCTTGTTCGAACTATGCAGGGGAAAAACAGATAACAGGCTTGAAGACTTCTCCATAAGTATAGAACATACACAGCCTTTCAGGGACAGAATTTAAGGTATTTAATTATTCTGAAAACCTGTTCCTATTCCATGATTCTTTAAACTTTTTCCAGACAGGAGATCTGAGAAAGTATACATTGGCTTAAAATTAAACATTTCCTTAAAATTACCTACTTTTTCTTATTAACTTGGTAAGAATGACTAAATCTCAATACAAAACAGTTTCTGCAATGCTAATTAGTATTCTATGAGTTTCTCTGTGAGCTTTTTTATAGTTAAAGGAGAAGGGGCCTTTTAAAGGCACCAAACACAGATATTTATATGTTAAGTAGGCATCACCATTTCAGTTCTACAGTGAAGGAAATGGAGGTTGAGGGAAAAACCACATGCTCTGCTCACAGTCAAGGAGCTGGTAAATGGAGGAGCCAGGTCTACCAGTCTCTAAGACCTATGTTCTTCCCACTGACAATTAGCATATTTCTCCACCAGAAATATGCTTTATTTTTCAAACAAAATGATCAAAGTTTCAGCATTTTAGTCTCACAGACATTGCTGTATAAAGGAGAAAGGCATTACATGAGTCAATTGATTTTTAATGCCATGAAATATTCCAATGATAAAATTTTTGGTATTTCAAGGCAGAAAATCATACAGTGTAGATTTTTACATGCAATTAAGACAACACTTTCCTCATTTGCTATTCCTGTGTGTGGTAAAATTTTGACCATCCAAACTAAGACTAAGAAACTGTTTTAGGAACACAAGAATTGCTTGAAAACTACCATTCACCTACGCAGATCCATCAAGACCCCCGTTTATTAATATCAAAGCAGAAAGAAGTTTTATAATTATTTTTACTATGTTGGAAAATAATTACAAGTGAACCTTAAACAATATGGTTCTTATATGGGTCCGCTTTATGGATTCATTTGGAGATTTGGAACAATCTGAAAAACTTAAGGGCAAACTGCATAGCCTAAAAATACTAAAAACTTACGGTACATAATGAATACAGAGAAATATGTAGGTAACAGTCTATTTTTTCACTTATTACCTCAAAATATACAAAAATTTTATTAAAAGTTAAATTTATCAAAATTTACTAACTATACATAATTCCATGCAGTCAAGAGAAATATAGACAAATATAGAATTACATGTAGAATTACTACATTACTATATTACTACAAATGTAGTATTACACACTAATGGTAAAAACTAACTGTAGTACATTTTGTGTTATTATTATTCTGATGGTACCTGTTACTACAGTGACCTCAAATGTTGCAAAGTACCCACCTTAAACACCGGGTAAGGCTGCCATGGTGGTGCAAACCTGTAATCCAGCTACCAGAAATCAGAGATTGGGAGGATTATGGTTTCAGACCAGCCAAGGAAAAAGTTATCAAGATTCCTATATCTCAACAAACAAGCTGGACCAGGTGGCAGGTGTCTATAATCCCAGCTATGTGGGAAATTTAAGTAAGAAGACGATTGATCATTGTCCAAGAGTGGACCTGGTGTTGGGCTGGGAATGTGGCTTAGCGGTATAGCACTTGCCTTGCATGCATGAAGCCCTGGGTTTGATTCCTCAGCACCACATAAACAGAAAAAGCCAGAAGTGGCACTGTGGGTCAAGTATAGAGTGCTAGCCTTGAACAAAAGAAGCTCAGGGACAGTGCCCAGGCCCTGAGTTCAAGCCCCAGCACTAGCCAAAAAAGGTTGGGGATTGTAGATCACATGGTACCACAATTGCTTAGTAAGCACAAGGCCGTGGGTTCAAACTCCAGTATTGTCCTTCCCCAAACACCCTAATACATAAAAACAAATTGAAACACACACACACACACACACACACACACACACACACACACACACACACACGAGGTAATAACTTCCATGTAAGCATATTTTCCCACTATATAGATAGCTCATATCACATACAAAATGTATGTCAATCAACTATATACATTACTGAGGTAAGGTCAGTAGCAAACTGATAAAGCAGCGGAGCATTAAGGCTAGTATGTGCAAATCCCTGGGACTGACCCCTCACGACAAAAACCAAAACAAAACCCTCCAAACTACAGAAAACAAAAAACGATTATGTGTAGAGGTCAGTGCCCATAATCACCAAGTCACTTAAGAGTCATCTACACTCATTTTTTTCACAAAATAATTCCTCATATAACTAGTATTTTACATAAACAGTATTATTCTGGCATGTAAAGACTAATTATTCTGGCTTATTTAAAAAAAATCAAAAAACAAAAAACAGCCGCTGGTTGCCTGTGGCTCACAACCATAATCCTGGCTACTCAGGAGGCTGAGATCTGAGAACTACAGGTTGGAAGCCAGCCAGGAGGAAGTCCTTGAGACTCTTTTCTCCAATAAACTACTTAGAAAAAGCTGGAAGTGGCACTGTGGCTCAAGTGGTAGAGAACTAACCCTGAGCAAAAGCAGCTGAGGGACAGTGCCTAGGCCAGTTCAAGCCCCAGGACTGGCAAAAAAATTAAAAAAAAAAAAAAAGATTCAGAAACATCCTTAGTTTGTAGTTTTCACTATCTAGTTCAAAAGTAATTAATTATGTGAGGTTTATTTTAAATGTACTTACTGTTCCCAACCTGGTCGACCCCCACCTGGCCGAGCAGCATTTATCCTTACTGGGCCTTAAAAACAAACAAACACAAAAACTGTAAATATAAACTTGCACGTTAAAAAAAAAAACTAAACATTACTTTTTTTTTTTTTTTGCCAGTCTTGGAGCTTCAACTCAGGGCCTGGGCACTGCCTCCAAGCTTTGAGCTTCTTTTGCTCAAAGTTAGCGCTCTACCACTTGAGCCACAGCCCCACTTCTGGCTTTTTCTGAGTCATTTATTAGAGATAAGAGTCTCACAGACTTTCTCCCTGGGATGGCTCTGAACCATGATCATCAGATCTCAGCCTCCTGAATAGCTAAGATTACAGGCATGAGCTACTGGCACCTGGCTCTAGAATTATTTTCCAAAGGGGAAAAACGGTTCAAATCCAAACAATTTTACTTACCAGTCGTAGGGATCAATTGTCCATGTAATAATGACTGTCCCAGCAAAGATGGAGTTCCAAGGACAGGCACCTGGTAACCCTGAATAACCACAAAGAGGGTTAAAAAAACAGCCAGGGGAATGATAGTTAAACCATGAAATCCTTAAAAACAATTTTTAGAGAAGTAAAATGTACCTTCTCTTCCATAAGAGCAGTAAGTGCAATTGAGGAGGTTCCCTTTGAATGTTCTGAAGCAAGGGCTGCAGCTGGCAGTAATTTAGTATCAGAGTCCCTAGAAACAGTGAAATTTGTAATATGTTAAAATGTCATCAGATGTGGGAGATAAAGAGTACAAGTAAGAGCAAGCATTATCCATGATTGCATTAGCCATTGCATTGAGATGAGCTACATGAAAGATGGTAAAAAGAGAAGAGTGCACACCTTGAGAGAGCTCCTTATGCACAAGCAGAGAAATGAGAAGAAATTGCCTTGTCAAGAACTACATGATAGATATGCTAGATACTGCAAAAACAGTAAAACAAGTATCATTGTGGACTACATGAAGACAAAAAGAATGGGATTAAGAGTAAGTTAAAGAACGGTGCATGGTGGTGGCATGCCTACCACCCTATCATCCAAGCACTTAGGAAGCTTAGGTATCAAGATCTTGGCTCTATCAGCAAACCTTTGTCTTACAGAAAAAGAAAAAGGAAAAAAAAAAAGTAAATTTTTGCTTTCACACCACCGCTAAACTAATGGGTAATCTTAGATAAGAGACACAATATTTTGGCACTAGCAGCACACATGTGTAATCCTAGCTACTCAGAGAGCTGAGAGCTGGGGGCTGAGGTTCAGGAGGGCAAGGCCCCAAGTTCAAGTTCCAGCACTAGCACATACAAGAAACAATTCATTATCTATACTGTATCTATAGACACTACTACTTATCAACCAAATACAAGGTTATATTAGACCAGTGGGATTTCTTAAATATAATTATGTAAATCTCTTCCTAAAGACTTCGTTTCAATGTCAGAAACAGGCTCCAATGTCTATTTTTAAAAAGCTGGTTTACATGTCAAAGGACTCTTTCATTTCTGAATAGGATTTCAGTCTGTTTTCACTATTCTACAATTCTAGTCTAGAACAATTATCCCCGACCTTTATATCAATTCTATCAATCTTCTTCACCTGTTTTCACTCCTGCTCAAATTTACTTTCCATCTTTATGATCATTATGAAATCTTGTACCTCTGAAGTGCAGTTCTGTTACAAAACTCAACATCTAAGAGAGAATTTTACTTACTGGCAACTTGCTTAATCATCACATACCAGAAGAATTACTGTTATTGCCTCTTCTTCTCTAAGACTAAGGTCTTTTAGGGTTTTTGAGACAAATCTCTTGATTCCCCTTGTCTCTTCCTTGAATGCTGGAACTGCCAGCATGCTTCACCAAGAATAAACCGTTTCTTACAAGTCATTCTAACTTACTGAGTACAACAGTCCACCAGAAAGCATTTGGCACCATCAGCTGCACTGGGCATAGACGAAAAGAGAGTGATGGGATGGAAGGAATGAGGGGGAAAGAAGGAACAGCTTATACTAAGCAAGAGGAAAGAAATGTAAATATCACCTGATGTGGAACAAATAATTGTATTATCAAAGCTCATAGAATTCAGAGACTTTATAGACCATGATAATGGCAATTTGCCTTGTGAAGGTTAAAATGGGTTGTTAACTTTAAGTATCACTATTCCACAGTACTGTGAAATTTATGTAATCACCTAATAGCAATTGAAAAAAAAAGCATTTGGCAGTACACAATCAAAAACTAGTATCACTGGCCTCATTTGTTTGCTACCAAGGAGCAACACCCAGGTAGACTTACCGGAAAGGTCCATCTGACTTTTCTGAATGGACTGATATAGACACTGTTGCGGTTATATCGGGTACAGGAGCTGGGGCATTAGATGCACTTCCAGGTACAGGAGGGGCCAAGGATTGGTTGGAAGTTAATGAAGATATTGAGGGAGCAGGGTGAGCCGATGAAGACGTCACTGGAATCATCAGAGGGTCTTGTTGTCGTGATATTGGAGACCTCATGAGAGGCTGCAGGTTCCGCTGAATGAGAGGTCTTGGAGGTGGTATTGGGGGTGGTGGTGGAGGTAATTGTTTTCGTAGTCTTTTTGTATAACCAGTTTCATTTTTGAAGTTATTAACAGCCTACAAGTACCAAACAGAAATGCAAAATGTGTAATGCAGCATTCACTTAAATAACAGTTAAATTGGTGAAGAGGCTTTTTTTTTTCATAATAGGAATACAAACATAGCTACCTGTCGTAAAAATTTATTGGCAATTAAAGCATCAGGAGATACATCATTTTGATGACATGTTGGACATGTATGTTCATCTGATTCCAAGAGTGCTGTTCTTATACCTAGGTAATAAGATTTTTAAATATTAATAATAGGAACTCAGTGTTTATAGAATGAGTGAAAAGGACACCCTATACCTATTCATTTTCCCAAGCACATAAAGTACTCCTTAGATTAAGGAACTTAAGATATATCATCTAAGGATTAGGATTCAATATATGACATGACTGTATGTATTCCCCCAACTCAGAAAGGAAAAACTATGGCCAGAAACTGCCATTTTGAGCCTTTAACATTCACTTCCTACATGAGAAGCGGAAATGTTTTTTTTTCTATTTCTCCTTATTTTAATGTTACACTAAAATAAACCCCTAAAATTTAAAAAGAGAAACTTAACATACTTAAGATAATCCCCTTGTTGTTTTCCCCAAACCCAGCTTTAATTTTTCTCTATGATCCAAGCTATTAAATCGAAGAGAAATACTGGCTAGGTGCTGGTGGTTCCTGTCTGTAATTATAGCTCAGGAAGCTGTGATGCAGCGGATGGTGGTTTGAAACTAATCTCAAGACTCCATTCCCAAAATACTAGCAGCAAAAAGTCAGTTTGGCTACAGGCATGATCAGTGATAGACACCACCCAAGGCAAGCCAAGCAAATATTGAAGACCTGAGTTCAATCCCTGTCTTCAGACACACTGAAACAAAAACTCTCTCTCTGAAGTGTTAGTCTTTGTGTAGTAAGATACTGCAGAAAAAAACAAGAGGTAGTGTACAAAGAGTGACAAAAACTTTACATGGCGCTGTTTTTGAAAAAGCATAAAGAATAGGGTATAAAAAATAAAGTGTTAAAGCCAAGTGTGAAAAGTGTTAAGCCAGATATGGTGGCTCATGCCTGTAATGCTAGTAGGAGATCAGGAGCTGGTTGGGGCAAAAACCCCATCTCAACACAAAAATAACTGCATACAAAGGAACGAACCTGTCATCTTAACAGGAGATGGGGAGAAGGGGAACATTAACAGTAAACAACAAGGTCCAGACCAGCTGGACACTCTTGCAAAAATAACCAGAGCAACACTGGGCACGGGTGGCACATGCCTGTAATCCTAGCTACTCAGGAGGCTTAGATCTGAGGATTGCAGTTCAAAGCCAGCCTAGGCAGGAAAGTCCATGAGACAGTAATCTCCAATAAACCACCACAAAACCACAAGTGGTTCAAGTGGTAAAGTGCTAGGCCTTGAGCTCAAGAGCTGAGAGCGCTCAGGCCCAGAGTTCAAGCCCCATAACTGACAAAAAACAAAAACAAAACAAAAAAAAACCAGAGCAAAAGAGGGCCAGAGGTGTGGCTCAAATGGTAGCTCACACACATTTCAAGCACAAAACCCTGAGTTAACACCCTATTACTGGGGTGGGGGAGGGGAGAGGGGGAGAAGAGAGGAAAAAAGAAGGGGGTGGGGAAAGGATGAAAGCATGAATCCGGGAAGGGAATTGCCCATAACACAGTTAAGAGAAATACTAAGCTAAGATTCACTGTTCATGCTCCAATGAATAAATCTAAGCCATACTTTCAAACCATAGCTTAAAAAACTCTTATCCTTGAAGAGGTCTCTATACAACGGTCCCAAAACTACCTTCAGAAGTAAAACAAAAACCAAGCAGGTTAGAACAGTGAAGTTTTCGGGTAAGAGCATTTTTTTCTTCTGAGTAAGAAGAAACATCTAAAGTAAATGGCAGAAAAGAACTAAAAGCTAATGTAAGTGATCTAGTCTGTTTACAGGAAATTATCATATCCTTATGAAGTTCAGAATAAGCTACTGTTCACAATGCAGAAAAGGGATTTAAAAAGAATTCCAGTGAGGAACTAAGCCCCACAAAAGGTTAGAATTTTATATATTTTGTAAAACACGTAGAAAACATTATTTAAAAAGACAGAAAGAGAAAGAAAATCCCAACCCTCTCACTATTAACGCTCATAGATCAACACTTATTATCAACATTTTGTATTTTATTATTAAAATACACAGTGTTGGTTCAGAGCCTTTCCAAGCAAATATAAATGCTCCTAATAGTGTCTTCAAGGGTTCAGCCTCTCTTACACTCATCACAGTAACTGTTTCCACAGCAGGGAATGACAACGGCGTCAGTCATGATGTCTTTGCAGATGAGGCACAGCAATTCATCTGGGATGGGATCATCCTCTTCTGACGAAGAGGATGGCTCCTCTGGTAGGAAGGGTGGTTTCTCTTTCTTCCCGATGGCATACGCCTCTCTGTAAAAGAAGGTTTCAGTGTTGTAAGACAGCTACAGTGGCAAAGCATTCATACTCCGTGTTCTACTATATACATCACAAGAACACAATTCAGTACAATTAGTGTAGATAAGCATAATTCCCCAAAGGGGGCAGCTGTATACAACCTCCTATACAAATGAGACACAGAACATAACTCTAAACAAATATAACCAAAAGAAATACTATAAAAGTAGTTAAAAGGCTCTTGGAATCCTAACTCTAAGAACTGAGGCCAGAGAGGTAAAGCAACACTCAATGCCATCATGTTTTACTTAGTTGGCATGGAGTTTAACTTAGAGAATATGCTAATCACAATTTTTACCTACCCTACCATATTTCTTGAAAAGCAACTAACAAAAAAATTCCTCCTCCATATTGCCATAGTTTCTAAAACCAGTGAAGGTATTAGACTAAATGTTGCAAGGTGAAAAATATGATTGACATTATGTAATTAGGAACTAGCTCAAAGGAAACCATTGCTACATGCAATAGAATGAGACTCTAAAACCATCTATCTACCTGTAATTACTATTCAGCTAAGAAATGTGATTTAATAGTTGAATACATATTACAAAAAGTGACTGAATACGTGTTAGCAAAGTATGGAGTAACCATTAGGATTTTTGCAAAAATGTTGAGAATATATTAAAAAAAAAAAACTATCTCAGACTTGTCAACCCTGCTTACATATTTCCAACTTCTCTGTACTCAAATTTGTAAGCCAAAGAATTTCTAGAGAAATCCTTTCTATTTCATGTGTTTATCTCAATGCTGAAAATGAAAGAATCTCAGCTATACAGAGTAGGGTACCTTAGGTGTGTTATTTGTGTTGCAGTTGCTCCATAGACATCACCACGATTCCAGAAATAAGTATCAATTTGCTTATGCCCCACTGTTCCCAATTTGTGAAAGAGGAGTCTCCCACTGCCCAAAAGAGAGAAAAGAAAAGAAGGGGGGAAAAAAAAAAGGAGAACAGGATAGAAAAAGAAACAGAAGAGTCTAAGTTGCTTATCAGTGGTGTTAGTGGAGAGGGTGAGTTTCATTTAAAATATCTGGGCTCCCATCTCTCCCCAGTACTTGCCATTTGTATGGTTGACACAAATGGGCTTTCTGTATTTCATCACTCTAAAGCAATGAAGTTAATTATTGTTAGGGTTCATGGGTGATGTTAACTTTTCCAATACAAACTTCTATTATTAAAAAAATTACATAGTATAGATAAGATGGTCTGCTCTTACTCACTGCAAAAGTCACCAATTTCAACCTGACAATGTTTGGAAGGGTCTACAAAATGTCTGAGTTACAAACAGCATTAACAGACTCCTCTAAGATGATTCACAGAGACAGGAAAGTGACTGATAGTAAACAGATGGGGTGAAGTGGAGGTGAGGACTAGGAGTTCAGGAAAAGTCTCATTTATGGACTTGAACACTACATACAGAAATGTACACTTCCAAATACAGGGTATTTTTTTCAGTATCACTCCATAGCGTAGCCAATATTTGCCACCCTCACCTAGTTACTAGGCCAACAATTATGCCTAAAGCTGAAGGAAACTATGGTCTTACTGTTTTCTTTTTTCTCATCATTAAAAACATGGATACCTATTCTCCAACTGGATGTTTCTCAAAGTACATCCTGAAGGTCTCAACTTCACAATTTCCTAGGCTTCTTTAAAATGCAGAATCAGGATTGTACACCTCTAAATAAAAAAAAAAAAACTAGGAGCTCATGGCTAAGAACTTAGAAGCACAGACTGAAGAAACATCTAATAACATTTATATCTATACTGTGAATTCAGAATTGAAGGCAGTCAAAAAGATAATTAATCATAATAATTAGTAAGAGAAGATAAAAGTGGGAAGCTATGTTGAACTATGTCACTCGACTTTCATGTATGTCTTAATCCTTTGATAAAACAATGGCTCACAGAAATTGAGAACATATTAAAGATATGCACTAAAGTGTTTTATAGCTCTCTAGCCTGCATGAAAAATAAAGTCAACTTCAAAATATTAAGACTCCATGGGAATAGGGCACTGGTGGCTCACAGTGTTAGCCCTGAGTGAAAAAGTGAGCAGAAGGCCTTGTAGTAGTTCAAAGCCCCAGTACTGGTACAAAAAAATAAAAAGTCTCAATACTAATTAGTATTTCATTTATGTTTTGTACGTAAATTTGCCTATCTAGAGTTTTTTTGAGACAGGTCTCCTAGCTATTTTTGTACTAGAGCTAATTTGCACTTAAATCATTGTCTTTGCTTCCTGAGTAATTTGTGATTATAGGTATGTACAACCATGCCCAGTTTGCAGAGCTTTTATTCTTAAAAATTATTTGTCTGTTTTGTCCACTTGGGAAATGGAAATAACATATAAGATAATGTGGGAGCATGTATGTAAATGGGAAAGAAAGCAGAAAATGACAGAAAAGAAGAGTTTAGAAGACTACAAGGGAAGTGGCACTCAGTGATGACAAACCCCCAAATCCATTTAGGAATCTGCTTAAATGTAGCTGACTGTAGCCTCTAATCTTGATAAGAAATGCAGCATGGGCAGACTCATTCTGGTGTACAAAGTTCCCAAGGAAGTCACAGAGCCAAGTTGTAAGCCCAAGATAAATCACTACATCCTGGCACTGATGGTGGTCTGCACAAGTGATAACTAATTTGTATACTTACGCATCTATTGTTGGTATTGCATATTTTCCAGTGTTGGTAAGCATTGCACCTTTCATGTTAGGATCTTTCACCTCCATCATAAAACTTCTAGGAATACCAGTGCTCTTTTTAATCCGAGGACCAGATTCAAAGTTCTTATCCTGTGTGGATGGAAAAGAAGAACAGAAAAGCAATTAGCTTCATTTGTTATTAATTTTGTGTAGCATTTACTACTTAGTTATAATGTTTACTATATATGCCCTCACTTAATCCTTACATCTCCAGTTCAGAAAAGGAAAAAAAAAAAAAAAAGCAAATTTGGAGAGATGAAATACCTCGCCTAAGTTTACTCTAGTAAATGAAAAACCCAGACATGAAACCTGGCAAAAATTTGGCTCCAGAGGTTATGCTGTTTTTAAATAATCCTAGCTGGGCTTTGGTGGCTCATGCCTGTATTCCTAACTACTCAAGAGGCTGAGATCTGAGGATTAAGGTTCAAAGCTAACCCCAGCAGGAAAGTCTATGAGACTCTCCATCTTCAACTAACCTCCTCTTCCCACAAAAAAGCAGAAAGTGGAGCTGTGGTTCAAATGGTAGATCACTAGTCCTTTAAGCACAGTGCCCAGGGACAGTGCCCAAGCCTAAGTACAACTGCCTCTGTACAAGCACAAAAATAAAAATAAAAATATTCCTAAGAAATTATAGCATAATTTTTCCTTTGGACTTACCCCATTTGTTGGGCAATTCTTAATATAATGGCCAGGTTTACCACAACGAAAACAGGTATAAGATGGAGGTGGTGGACCTAGAGGTTTCTTCATGTAACTGGAAGAAAAAAAAATTACATGTAAACAAAAACTTAAAACAATGCTTTTGATTGGGGGGGGAGGGAATCCACCCCTAAAATTCCTATCAGTATAAATTATTTCTGAACTTACTTGATTGGGTCGTATTCATGGCCAGATTGCGACATCATTGCTTTAATTTTATCTTCTTCAGAAGCATTGGCTTCAGCCAGATTGGCAGTCTGTTTAACAGGTAATTATTTGACACACACATTAGAAACACATTTAAGACCACACAGTGAAAGACAACACCACTCATCCTGCAAAGAGCAGTTTCTAGACTAGCCTTGTAAACTTGGAAGAGGCACTGGGAATTCTTTAGGTGGTTACATGATGTCTGGGGGGTATGTGGGAGGCTGAAGAACCATTCTGAGGGCACTCTAGCCTTAGACCCTGCTTATACATTAGAATTTGCACACTTGCTCTAAGATTTAAACACTAAGTTCAGAGGGAAACACTTGATGTTCTTAAATCTTAAAAAAAATATTTCAAGTGTCACAACATGGAGATTGTTCATTTACACTTACAACCTTGAGGGCAAGGAAAGGGGCAGACAACTGAGCATATTATGCAGTCAGAAGTCTCTAAGTTGTAGGGTCAATTTCAGGCTAAGTATAAGGGATGTGCATTAAGCATTCATCACTTAGATTCTATTCTCTAAATTTTATTAACTTCATCTACAAAATATAAAACACAATGTAGATATAAGCAGAGTCTAAGAGAGTGACTTCTAATAACTTGAATCCTCAAGCATCTAGCACTCACATCATCCACTCACTGGGTTTTATCTTTGCATTCATCCACAAAACAAGCAACCAGTTTTAACATTTTATTGTAATTTCATATACAAAAGAATGCTTAACATTAACAGAGCTTAGAACAGCAACGTTTACAGAAAACTGAATTACAGATGTTTAACAACTAATTTGTTTGAACCCAAAAATTATTTTACAAATAAGCTTTTAAAAATAATAAAAAGAATCCCCCAAACCTCCAAAACTTCCCAATTCTTCCCAGCAAAGAAAACAATGGTAGGAATAGACTCAAATATGGTCCTTAACAGTACATAAAAACAGTATACTATATATAAACTGGTAAAGATGTTAGGTTAACTCTTGCTAAACCACTCTGCTTTAGAAAAACCATAAAATAGGATGGTTTTAGTATACTTGTCTCAGTTTTAACGTTCAGTTTTCCTAGTACAAGAGCTGAAGAACTATCTTCTAGGGCACTTTGGGGTTATGGTATAGGAGAAAAGGACACAGCCTATGTATAATAGAGCAAGGACAAGACAGGGAGGGACAACCCTAACGGAAAACCATCCTTTATGTATCTGACAGTGGGGAGAAAAAAGGGTTTCTGGAATAATGGACAATTTCCTTCTTGTCTCTCAAAAAGTCTGCCTGTTCTTTTATTATAAGGCACAATTTGTAAGCTAAATGTATTATTTTAAAAAGCAATCCATCACTAGTGCTTTCCCAAACAAACAATACACATTGTAGAGTAGCAAATGCACGCAATCTTATCGCAGAACATGGCACATACAATGGTTTCAGGAGGTTAACAACTTGCCTCTCTGCCAAACATACAAATTGGTATACTTCTGTAAACAGCTTTATACACTTACACAATTCCTGTAGTCTGTGTTCAAACAAATTAGGTTGTTTAAAAACTTTTTCTAAGGCAGACAGACTACAAGTCTATAGATATAGCATAAGAAACAACTGTATCACATTTAGTATATTGACCTTCATGGGGCTCAATTCAAATATTCAAGAAATAGCCAAGCAATTGTCCGGGTGAAGGAAATCTTCAGTTTTGGCCGCTTAAAGTCCACATAATTTACAGCCAAAACCAGGAATTCCTCCAGAACTTTGTTAGTTTCCAATGTGTAATAAAAAAAAGTATGAGGGGGGAAAATGATTAAGTGTAGCTTCATGTTTCTTCTGTCTTGAAGATGATAATACGCCAACATTATGCTGAGGCTGACCAAGTATTCCCCTATCTTCTCAAAACAGCAACTACTCTTTATAGAGTAATAATATGTACAATGCTCTTGCAAGACCCATCCCCCCCGCAACCCAGCTTAAAAAAAGTTGGTTGACATGAAAAGAATGTTAGAAAAACACTTATATTTTCAAGAATATATATATATATACCTTTGTAAGCTGGGCCAGAGTAATAGATGCAGAAGAGTCATCAATCTGTTCATAAAAAATTAAACACACATTCAAGTTCCACACTGAAAACAGCGGATAATGATCATTTTAGCCCTAATGTCATTTAATGCTCAAATATTGGGCATTTTCTTAGTTTTCTAGAGAATAGCATTTTCTTTTAAGTCTGAAATGTAGCTCAACCTACTTTATCTTCCTTATACTACTTGACACCCAGTTATAAAGGTTGTCAGTTCTGGGAGACTGCATAATTGCAATTCAAAAACAGGGTAAAGAAAGTGTACCACACAGGAAATTGGTGGCTAGAAACTCAGTAAGAACTCTGTCTCTCAATGGTCTCTAAATCTGATATTGCTCAAGACAATTACACTGGTCGAGAGAATAAGCGATCTTTCTAATTTTCCCCATCAACACTGTAAAAACAAGCAGCTTTGTAATGGCTCAATTATTTTAATAAACAAGAGCACCCATATAATTGCTACATTATTTTTTGAGAATTGTGTATCCTCCTACACAAAGAATAAATAACAATAGCTTCTTGTTTAAGAAACAACAGCTTTATCAAAGCAAAGATCTTTAGCCAAAAATAAACCCCAAAGAACAAAAAATGAGGGGTAGATAAAGGTGCCTAGGGGAAAGGATTGAGTTATCATATGTGATGATGGATTCTAATACTTGCGAAAAAAGGAAGTTAATATAACCAAACACAGCAAGGATATATGGAAGAGAGAGCTTTAAAACAAAAAATCCATTAAAAAAATAAAAAATAAATTTTGTCCTCTATAACAATGTTTTTAAAAAAGTCTACCTCCGGGGCTGGGAAGGTGGCTCAGTGGTAGAGCACTTGCCTTGCATGCCTGAGGCCCTGGGTTCAATTCCTCAGCACCACATAAGCAAAAAGAAAAAAGCTGGGAGTGGCGCTGTGGCTCAAGTGGTAGAGCGCTAGCCTTTGAGCTGAAGAGCTGAGGGACAGTGCCCAGGCCCAGAGTTCAGTCCCCACAACTGGACCCAAAAAAAAAAAAAAGTCTACCTCCGTGTTATCATATATACATAACTTTAGGAAATAACTTTGAAGATATTTGCCCTATAACTTCCTACTTCATAAGTAGGTTGTTTATTCTTATGCTGTAAGTTTCTTAATTCTTGTTTACAATGGAGAAAATATTAACAAGATAACTGGATCAAAGAAAAACAGCTGAATAGTAAAAGTAGTATGAATTTAGACCTCAAAGAGAAATGGAATCAGTTTTAATATGAAGTCCATAGCCATTATCCAGTCCAGAAATGATTCAATAAATATAAATCATGTTAGCTAAATTTAAGACGCATCTTGGCTGGGCATGGTGACACACTTCTCCAATCCCAGCACTCAGAGGTTGAGGCAGGAGGTATGGAGTTTAAAGCATCCTGGACTAACGGGTTGGCAAGTTGAAGCCAGCCAGACTTCTCAAAAAACAAAACAAAACAAAAAACTCCCCCCAAACAAACAAAAGTCTTACAAATAGGGTTTTAAAGTTAATTTGACCGAAATTATTACTGGGATGCTTAGACAAAAGGTTTTTTATTCCACATTGAAGGACTGTAAACAGTTCATGAGAGCAGGGTACCAATGGCTCATGTCTGCAATCCCACTCAGCAGTGTAAGATTTGGAGGATGATGGCTGTTTGAGGCCAGCATGTTCAGAGAAGTCCTCAAGAGACTTCCTCCCCAAAATTGCCAGTAAAATGCAGTAGTAGAGTGCCAGCTATGAACAAGAAAGCAATGGGAGCATGAGGTCCTGAGTTCAAACTCTGGCACTGGCAAAAAAAAAAAAAAAAAAGTTCATATGCACTCATCCAGCAAAATCTACCAATCGTTCTTGAAGTAGTTTTTCATCTAAGAACAAATATTAAGAAATAAAAAAATACATATTCAACTTTTATCTAAAATATATTGTAACCTATTTCATTTTATACGGGCCAGAAATAGCCTGAATTTAAGTAATAAGGACCATCAATTCAATCACGTATGGTAGGATCCTAACCAACAAAATAATAGCTTTAATAGTGTTCTTAGAAAAAAGAAATCCAGGCCAGGTGCCAGTTGTTCACGCCTGTAATCCTAGCCAATCAGAAGCCTGAGATCTGAGGATTGAGGTTCAAAGCCAGCCCAGGCAGGAAAAGTCTATGAGACTCCTCTCTCCAATTAACCACCAAAAAACTGGAAGTGGCACTGTGGCTCAAGTGGTAGAGTGCTTGCCTTGCGCTAAAGAGCTCAGGGGCAGAGCCCAGGCCTAGAGTTCAAGCCCTACAACGGACCAAAAAAGAAAAAAACAAACCCACTGTATTAATTTTCTTAACGCTGGAACTAGAAAAGCAACACAAAAATCTTCCTACTCCTAATTTTATTGTCCTTGTCTTTGTGCTGAACTTTCTTATCCTCTCATTTTAGGTTTTTACTCCCATTGTATCATTTACTCAATGAATTCAAAGTGACTTCAGATATGTAACTGAATCTAATTATGTTCCCTTACAAAATCACCACTATAGTGCACCCCATCTGGTAAGTCAAATCAGTTTAGAAAGGCATCAACTTGTTTCCTACATATAACAAGATGTGAAAAATGATGGAAAATGTTCACAAAGGTTTAAAAATAAAATATTTATATATACCAAAACATAAAAATTTCTTAGTGAAACAGTAAAATACTGTTTTCAAAAAATAACACACCTCCCTATATCTAAATAGGGGGTCTTGTTTCTGGAAGTAAGGACCTCAAACGTTTTATGCTTATAGCTGAGTGGAATAAAAAAAAAAATCTACGAAATTTCAGACCCTTAGGTCAGCAAATACAGCTTTCAGCTTCAGTATAACAACCAGGCATGGGAAGATGACATAAACCAAACAAGGCTGGGGAATATAGAAATAGCCATCTTTGATTGGATTTGGCCTCACCAAAAATATTCATACTTACTAATCAGAATTAAAAATTTGGTTCAAAGGCTCTATTTCATGTTTTGTGAATGTGTACAACCACATCACTTTTTTGTTTCTTAAGAGGTACACTAATTATTCTCACCCTAAATATCAGCAAATGTACCCCATACAAATAAAAGAAGGGAATAACAAGTTATCTAACATCACCAGTTTCTAACAGCTCCATTTCCCTTAATTCTACATAAAAAATAAGGCTACTTTTTGAAAGCATTAAAAAAAAAAAAAGGAGAAGAAAGAAAAGAGAAACCTAAGCAAGCTTAAAATAAAACTGCTTCTTATAAATGTAATACAGACATGCCAGGGAACACACAAGGCTAAAAGAATGTTAACTTTATTTATGAACATGTGATTTGTGTTTATACACATGCTAATAAACAAAAGGGAAATAATTGCTTTCAAGAAATAAAACTGCATCTGCATACTTCAAATACTATATAAAAATGAACTTTATACAAAATGTGTTACAATCACTACCACATTCACCAGGATTGTTGATCTAAATTTGTGCTAGCATTTGGATACATAAAAATCAGCTTTAAACCAATGACCAGCAAAACAGAAACTTGGACAGTTTTTACAGCATTATGCTTTAAGAAAAAAAAAAAGGGAAAAAAACCCCAAAAACCTTATATACCCAAAAAGGGAGGGAGGGGGAATCCCAAAACACTAAAGGCTTTTCATCTTTGAATCACTGTTTAGTTCCACCAGAACTAAGGCCACATACTTTAAAGAACCATTTCAGAGTTGAGATAGTCTACGTTTTCATGTTTAAATCCAATGATCCAGGGTTAGTGAAATGCCTCTTACACAAAGATCAGCTTAAAAAGTATAACCAATACCCTTGAATTCTAAAGGAAAATTTCAGATATCTTACATTGTATACAATAGCAAGCCTGAGCAGTAAAATGTTTAGAGAACCATCAAGTTTGCAGAACCCAATAAGATAGACCTGTGTTCTGAAACACATTGTACTTCACATTTTGAAACTCACAGTGAAAATAGTGTTATACTTATAATGAAAAAATAAGATGTTATACTGGTTCCTTCCTGGTTAAAAGGAGTAAGTTACTTTTGGTAAGTTTCAGCTTTCAGTAGCCTATAATTTAGTATATTTTAATACAAGAAGAAAAAATGTTTAATTTGGACATCTGAACAGATTGGGTAGAAGTGATCTTGCATTGTTTTGAAACCAATACACCCAACTGTACAAATTATCAAAATCAATGAGACATTGAGGGACTTGCTGAAGGGAACAATTTTGTTTTTACTTTATAGTGCAGGTATAAAGAGGTAGAAGGTCAAACTGCCAAATAAAGCAAGATGAATAAAGCTGTACCAGTGGTCAGCTGGTGTTTCAAATGGTCAGATGTGTTGCAACTTGGTGAAAGCATCAAATTCTAACATAAGCTCTGCATGTTGCTAATGCTTTTTTTGTGTGTGCTGGTCCTGGGGCTTGAACTCAGGGCCTGGGCGCTATCCTTGAGCATTTTTGCTTAGGGCTAGCGCTCTACCACTTGAGTCACAGGTTCCACTTCTGGCTTTTTAGGTAGACAAGATAACTGGAGATGAGAGTCTCTCGGACTTTCCTGCCCGGGCTGGCTTTCAACCGTGATCCTCAGATCTCAGCCTCCTGGGTAGCTAGGATGACAGGCGTGAGCCACCAGCGCCCAGCTTGCTACTGCATTTTTACAAGCCATCATTAAGGCTGGGGGGAAGGGGAAAAAGAGCTAACATAAACTAAGTGATACAACGTGAAAATGGCAAAATATACACTCCAAACATTTTTTTATTGCAAGAAACAAAAAGCACACAACAGCCTGTACATACATACAAAATACTAACTATAGACAGACAGATGTAGAACATGTTATCATGTTCATCAGTGTAGAACCTACATGATCTAAGAAGAATCATACAGTACTGTACAACACAGTGTCATACAGGGAGAATGCTCTCATCTTTAATATGAAACAGTGCAATAGGCACAAATTACCCACTTCTACAAAATAACTGCAAATTATGCCACATATATTCATGTTCAACTGAACTGTCACCAAAATACATTTTATTTACAATATGTACTATAAATCAGTTGGTTATTAAGTTCTAAAATGATTTACTTCACTGAAACATTATAAAGGTTAAAGCATTGTGTAGAAAAAAGTGGGAGATTGTGTTTTTACATACTGCTTTTGTAGTTCCCATCACTGGCTCAGTTCGACTTCTAAAAAAATAGAACAGAAACTAACATTAGTAATTTATAAATTTTTGTACTAGAAATCTCAATATGTTATCTTTAATCACACATCTTAGGAATTTAACTTTCCTGTAGTACACATCTTAGGAATTTAACTTTCCTGTAGTACAAAGCTTTAAATAAGCCATTTCAGAAATAATAAACAACTTGGATTTTTATTACCTTACGGTACACATTTGTAGTTAAAAAAAAAAAAAATCACACTGACAATGGGGTACAACTGGCTCATTCCTGAAATCCTAGCTACGAAGGAGGTTAAGATCTGATTGTGGTTCAAAGGGCAGGAAAGTTGAAGAATTTTCTTCCTGGCTGTCCCATCATTTAAAAAAAGCATTGTTCAGCAATGCACAGAAGGTAGAAACAAGACTTGCACAATGTCTAGAATGATCTTTTAAGTTCCTACTTTTAAAGGATATACAATAGTTGGTACTCATTTATGAAACAAGGCATTATAGTTAGGTATTTGTGTTCAATGTTTAATGATCCAATCTGACGACTTCTCAGACTCTTAAAATGGAGCCATTCCTCCTCAAGTGCTTGAATACTAGCCTTGAGCAAAAAATTCAGGGGCAGAAGGTAGAAATGGACTGTATTTGAATTAAAAATGTTTATAATAGAAATGGACAATCTGATGTTTAAAAGAATATACAAATAACCCAAAAAGAACTTTTTTACACAGGAAATGAGACCTAAATAGCCTTCAAATGCTTTGTGATTTTTATTTTCTTGAATTTGCTCAACAAATTGAGACATTTTAGGAAACAAATTATGTTTGAATTAACATAACTTTGTATAGGAAGCAATTCATTTTGCCAGGTACTTCAAGTAATTCCATTCTCAAGAATTTAGGAGCTGGGCGCTGGTGGCTCACGCCTGTAATCCCAGCTGCTGAGGAGGCTGAGATCTGAGGATCATGGTTCAAAGCCAGCCCAGGCAGGAAAGGCCATGAGACTCTTATCTCCAATTAACCACCAGAAAACTCGAAGTGGAGCTGTGGCTCAAGTGGTAGAGTGCTAGCCTTGAGCTGAAGAGCTGAGGGGCAGCGCTCAGGCCCAGAGTTCAAGCCCCACGATTGACACTGACACACACACACACACACACTTTGGAATATCAAAACGTTCCCAGAAATACTATTATGTATGTGTGTGTGTATACAGTATGTATGTGTACATATATATGTATATTATATAATTTGTTTTGTTCTATGGACAGAGTCTCACTAGAGAGCCCAGGCTGGCTGGAAAAATCATGAACCACCCCTTGGCTCTGCCTCCTAAGTGCTGGAATTATGGGAATGTGACACTATGCCTGGCTAATATTTAATCTTTTTTAAAAGGCACATGGTATAGTATTTGATATTTTATCATTTTGATTCTTAAAATCACTTAAAGCAAAAAGCACAGACCACTGAGATTAATCACTCGGTAGCTACAATAATGAAAAAAATATTCAGCATTTTAGGTTAGGATCGAAATAGTATTATACAAGACTCTTTTAATGTTAAGATATACAATACAACCTTAGTACAAACTAAAAAAACAAAAAACAAACAAAAAAGTTACAATACATGGCCTACAAGAGGCAAAGTTCCAAGAAATGTCTAATTTAACCTTAATTCTAAAACACATTCCATTTAATAGGTCTGGCATATTCTAGAAATTTTCATTGACTCAAAAAAATGTCAAAATTTCAAACAAAACCATCTAATTTCTTGGTAGAAATCTACCCTTTAAAATAGTCCAAGTTGATACCCTAGTCACATATTCAACTCTGTTGTCACTATTAAAATTTCAAAGTGGAAGGGCTGGGAAGGTGGCTCAGTGGTAGAGCGCTTGCCTTACATGCATGAGGCCCTGGGTTCGATTCCTCAGCACCACATAAGCAGAAAAAAAAGCCGGAAGTGGCATTGTGGCTCAAGTGGTAGAGCGCTAGCCTTGAGCTGAAGAGCTGAGGGACAGCGCCCAGGCCTAGAGTTCAGGCCCACGACTGGACCCCCCCCAAAAAAAATTAATAAATAAAATAAAATTTCAAAGTGGAAAGCTTACAAATAGTTTATAATTATGCTTCTTTAGTGTATATAAGTTCTATTCTACTTTACAGAGATTGTTCTTGTTCCAATAATGACCCTCTGCCAAGCACCTGAGCAGGTATCTATGGGACTCTCAACTGACAACACTGTAGATATTGCAATATGCAATGCTCCAATTCCTTATATCAAATGGCATATGTTTTCATGAAACTTGTGCAATTTTCCTATTTATACCTAGAGTACAATGTAAGTGCTATCTAGTCACATTATATTTTGCTTAGGAGACAATAACAAGGAAGTTTACTTATGTTCAGTATAGACACAATCACCACAGGCTAAGCTATACAGAGTAAATATCAGCAACAACCTCCATAATCTTTCCAATCTGCCGTTACTGCAGACCCAGAAACCAAGGATATGGGCATGCCAACTGCATCCAGATCCTCACCTTAGGGAAATCTGAGCCAGAGACTTTAGGTTACTTATTTAGTCACATAATTGGTAAAACAAAAAAACAGTAAACGGAGTCAAATCTAAGCCCAATTCCAGAGTTATACTGGTAATACAATATATGACCTCTTAACCAAAACCCTTACTGGGAAGAAGCACATCTTAGTAGCATTACTAGATGCTGGCATATATGCAAGATAGATCTTTACAACATATACATTTTTTTTTGGTCAGTTATGGGGCTTGAACTCTTCGCCTGGGCACTGTCCTTCAGCTCTTCAGCTCAAGGCTAGTGGTCTACCACTTAAGCCACAGTGCCACTTCTGGTTTTCTGAGTGGTTTATTGGGAAGAGTTTCACAGCCTTTCCTGCCCAGGCTGACTTTGAACCTTGACACTCCAATCTCAGCCCCCTGAGTAGCTAGGATTACAGGTGAGAGTCACCTGCTCCCAGTGACATAATCATTTTTGTTAACAGGCCATACTGAGTAAACTTGTGTCCTAATAATAGTTCTTAAAAGAACTATAGGCCAAGACTATTTAATCAGAGAAGAAATCAGGAAAAACAAACCCCTTTCCCTCATAGTTTCAAGAATTGAGAACATAAACTTATTAGATTTTTGTACTTACATAACATATGTCTTGCTTGTGGATTTAACACCTCCAATAGGAATTCTTCTAACAATTACAGATGAGTTCTTAGGAATCAGAGCATTATCATCAGTATATTCTGTAAATAAAAACAAAGTCAGGGATTTAAATTCTGCAGAATAAGACCTGAATCGGAATACAAATTTTTATAGGAAATGAACCTAAGACACAGAAGAGAATAACTACCTAGTCCTTTCACCTAAATTACTAGTAATTTTCAGCTAGGTTACTGAACTCTAGTAACTCTACTTCTCAAATTCCAAATCTCCAGTTTATTCAGCAGAAATGTTCAATATGCAAACTATGGATAACGTTGTTAGAATGGAGACAGTCTTAGTCTGTCTTCCCTCTGCCTTAAAACAGGAGTTGACTATTATGTTCCTCACTCTCACAGAATTTATTACTAGAGCAGACAGACTGCATTATGTTATGACAGGAGTGAACAAAAAAAAAGTTTTTGTGTATGTGCATGAAGGTCTGGAGCTTCTTGTACTCAGGGTCTGGGCACTATCCTTGAGCTTTTTTTTTGCTCAACGCTTGGGTTCTACCACTTTGAGCCACAGCTCCACTTCCGGTTTTCTGGTGATTAATTAGAGCTAAGAGTCTCATGAATTTTCCTGCCAGGCTAGCTTTGAACCAGAATCCTCAGACCTTAGCTTCCTGAGTAGCTAGGATTATAGGCCTGAGTCACTGGCAACTGGCTCAGAAAAGGGTTTTCTAATAAGGACTAAATAGTGAATGTCACTTTGAATAGAATGATAATTCAAAGAAAGCCCTTCTGAAGAACCTACACTAGCAACTTAAAACTCAGAAGTCAGCCAGATACACGAAAAAGCTAAAGTGTATTTTAGGCAGAAGAAAAAAAAATGAGACAGAAAAAGAACTACAGGGATAAAGAGATTGAAAAAGAGTAACACAAAATACAGGTACAAAGGTTATACAAAGCAAATATTGTTTCATTTCTAAACAATAGGAACTCATTGGTTGATCTTCATGAAATGTTGACAACTGTGATAATAGGATTGTTTTGGCATCTATGTTAAGAATAAACCATACCATGCTGAAGACTGGGGTTCATAGCCAGCCCAGGCAGGAACATCTGTGAGACTCATCTCCAATTAACCACCAGAAAACCAGAAGTGCATAGTGGCTCTAGTGGTAGAGCGCTTGCCTTGAGCTAAAGAATTCAGGGACAGTACCCAGACCCAGAGTTCAAGAACCCCCCCCCCCAATAACTATAAAACAAAGAGTAGAAATAAGGTGACTACTTAACACTATCTAATCCAGACAGAAGTGATGGTGTGGGGGTGGGGGGCGGGGGGTTGGAGGCATGGCTAAGGCTGTAGAAATTATGGCTCATGGTAGGATGTGGCAGGCAGAGAAATGGAGTCAAATGTTATGGGGTTAGAGTGTAAAGTCTTGTTCTTGCACTGGATATTGAGAATATGAAGAAAGAATCAGCATCAATTTATGAGTTCTCAGCTTTAACAAATGTATAAACAGTGACATCACTTTTTTAAGAAGACCAACAAGAAAGATGAGTGGACATTATTTTCTATTAGATGGCCTTTCTATAATACTTCCCTAAGAAGAAAACCTAAAAGGAAATTGGAGCTTTACTAAAGGAAGGAAGATGTATCATCTTCTTCAATCACAAACCAGATAGTGGGTCCACTTTTGCTTCACTTATTAGCACAAAGCATCTGACTTTATTTGCTCTTTGTATTATTTCAAATTTATTACAAATCTAGACATTTTGGGCTTTTAATGTCTTCAGAGCTGAAGGTATGGCTCAGTGGAAGTATACCTGACTCTCAAACAGAAAGCCCTGAGTTCAAATCCTAATGTTCCCAAAATGCTGATAACATATATCAACTTTATTTTTTTTTTAGTCAAAATGCTATTAGCATTCCCTATTAAAAGTAAATTGGGCTGGGCGCCAGTGGCTCACGCCTGTAATCCTAGCTACTCAGAAGGCTTAGATCTGAGGATCACAGTTCAAAGCTAGCCCAGGCAGGAAAATCTGTGAAACTTATCTCCAATAAACCACCAGAAAACCAGAAGTGGAGCTGTGGCTCAAGTGGTAGAGCACTAGCCTTGAGCTGAAGAGCTGAGGAACAGTGCCCAGGCCCCAGAGCTCAAGCCCCACGACCATCCAAAAAAAAAAAAAAAAGCCCACTAAATTGCTCATGCAGGGTTGTTTTTAATATGTTCTACATGGCTGGCTACATCCAATAAAGTGATGCAGTTTCCTAGATTTAGGCATGCTAATTATCATTATCTTGTACTATTATCATTTTCTTGTACAATTCACAACAGTCTGAACTTTCTCAACTTCCAAGCAACCTAAAGAGAAAAAAATCAGAAGGGAGGATGGAAGACTTTTTGTTGTTGTGTGCTTATTAACTCAGGACCTGAGCACTGTTCCTGAGTTTTGTGCTCAAGGCTGGCACTCTAACACTTCAGCCCACCTCTACTTCCCACTTTTTTTTGGGGGGGGGGCGTGGAGATGAATTGGTGATAAGTCTCATAAGGGACTTCTGCCTGGGCTCACGTTGAACTGCAACCCTCAGATCTCAGCCTTCTGAGTAGAAGCTAGGAATTATAGGTATAAGCCAATAATGTCTTGTCAGGTTGAAGATATTTGTTGTTGTTTTTTGCTGGTCCTGAGGCTTGAACTCAGGGCCTGGATGCTGTCCCTGAGCAGGCTGGCACTCTATCTACAGATACTTTCCTCCCTGGGCTGCCTTCCCAACCTTGGTCCTTGATCTTAAATCTCCTGAGTAGCTAGGTGCGAGTCACAGGAAAGAGCAAGATTTTTAATCAGTTTAAAAGTTAATTCTACAGCTAAAACTTAAGTGTCAAACATCAGACAAGAAGTTTCTTTCCTTTTCTGAGACAGCGTTATGCTACGTAGCCGGGCTGACCACTGCTGGGATTATAGGCATGCACCACTACACCCAACAAGGAAGTTTCTTATTTTTAACAATGTCAAGTGAATTCACACTAGCTCTCAAAGAAATATTAACTCGATCAGCACACTACAGTTAACTAAAGCAACACTAAAGTCAATATTCCAACACCCTTCAGAAGTTCTGATCAGGTTAACTCCTGAATTTACAATGATTTCCAAGCCCAAAAAGTGTCTTACATTTAACACAAATCCTTAATGAGTAGTCAGTTTATTTCTAAGACATGGCAGTCTTAAAATATGAAAGGCCTGGTTGGAGAACAAGCTGAACTTGCAGCAAGACATCAAGTCTTTAAAAAATACTTCACACTGGACTTCCAACTCACACTAAGTTCAGAAGGAAGGCTGTTGTGTGGCTTGGGGTGGGAAGAGGGGGGTTAGTACAAAGTTTTTCGGAAATAATAAAGTTCAAGGGATCACTGTGAAATATAGCCTAGAGATAAGTAGTATTGTTAAGTCCAAAAACACAGAATTCTGATCAAAGCATTTTAGTCTTTTCAAAACTAGGCCCTAAACATAGATCTTCATATTATAAGAAAAGCTTTGTAGCAACATGTAATATTAGAGATAATTTCAACATTAATTCAAACCAAAAATCCAGTTCAACATTCTCTCCTATGTAAACTCCCCTCAGGCTTTTAGCATTTTCTTTGCAACACTAATTTATATTTATATTAATTCACCGAATAATGCTAAAGCCAAGTGGCATTCTCATTGAACTGCCTTGGTAAGTGGGGTACTATCTTCTGTGTACTACTTTTTCCCCTAGTTTGATGAAATAAAAAGCAGTTGTCTCCCACAGCTCTTCTTCCATAAAAAAGCTCATACAATATATGAAGCTCCTCCCTGGATTTCAGGGTCTGGATCATGTATTAATATTTACCAGTCTAGGAAAAACATACAGTCAGAAAGAAATCTCTTCAATTTTAAGTACAAGATTCCTTCAACCACAATTTACTCCTCTCAAAGTTTTATTTGATCACTAGGTAGATAAGATGAACAAAGCTTAGCCCCAAATGATTCAATTGTGTTACTATTTCAGTGAAAATGAGTCCTGCATAGTGTTTAAAATTGCCTGATATCCTCTAGTTTCGTTTATCTTTCCTCTCATTCATAAATACTCAATATAGCAAGATGGCTTACAATTCTTCAAAATCTGTCTTTATGAACAGTGTCTACTATAAATATGGAGAGGCTTTCAGTATACTTAAAGCTCTTCCTGAACTGTCCTTGACCACCAACAATCTTCCTCTCCTTAAGTAGAGGGAGACATACAGATGATTCCAGTTACCAAAGGAACTGGCACACATTTATTTTTAGTAAGAAGAAGCAGACAATATTATTTCAAATCTATTGTCATATAAATTCTGGCTTAATTAATACTTTGGAGTCCCCACATGCCAATAATGCTGGTCCTCAGCCTAATACAATTATACTTATGTTTGCACTGTAAACGACAGCAGCCATGACAGAATTTAAACTACAGATTAAAGGCAGGGGATCATCCTTTTCAACAACCACTCCATCACATATTATATTAGTATAAAATTACCCTAAAGCAATCACCATTTCTTCACACCCGAACAATAAATCTTAAATCTACAGATTAAAGGCAGGGGGCCACCCTTTTCAACAACCACCAGGCCAAATTTTATGCCACATTTAGCGATAAATTTCAATCCATCTTAAAAGTCAGAACTTCACTATTTCTTCACATCCCAACAATAAATCTCATTAAACCAATCTAGTAAACACATCAACACTGCTATTCTGAGAAAAAGAAACTAAAACAAAACCAGTGTTGGAAAAGACTGCCACATCACATCTACTTTTGAATTCCCATTATAAAATATTCTAAACACAGGAAAAAGTACTTAAAAAGATTCTAATCCTGGTTTACTAACACTTACATGGCAGCAGCCTAGCAAAATTTTAAGTTTCTTGGTATTGAGAGGGAGGGACAGTCTAGCAATCACTACTTTTAAGAAACAAGTTTCAGGCTTTTAAACTTTCCTGAATTGCTAAATTTAAGAGTAATGTGATGAACTTAAAGAGTCCAACGACCGAATTACTGTTAACTGTGCAATTTACACAAGCCAAGAATATTTCAAGTTCCAAAAAACAATTTCCACATTAAATCCTCAAAGAATACGAAAACTAGGGGCTCTTTTCTCCACAACGCAGGCAGCTCCAAATAAGTAAATACCTGGGGGGAGGGGTAGGAAAGAAGACTAACAACTTGCTATTAACTTCCACAGCATGGTTAGGTTACAACATTAGAAGTTATGCCTGTCACTGAATTAACACAGACCAATCCTTGCATGTTCTGATGAAAAACAAAACAGAAAAACGCCACAAGGCAACCCCCCCAAAGAACTCGTTCGTATCAACCCCCTTTTATTCACCATCCCCACCCACATTTTTAAAAAAAAAAAAAAACAACTCGAGGTCAGACTACCACGTTTTCCGATTACCCTGCTCTAGAAATCAAACATGTCAGTTTCAACTCCAAGGTCGGCTATCAATGAAAAATTGTATCCACAGTGTTAGAACGAACCAGAACGGCGGTTAAGAGTCAGGCACCTTCTTCTAACTTAGCAATCACCCTCCACCCCAGCCTTGGCAGGAGCCCGGGGTGGGGGTGGGCTTACCTTCTTTCGTCTGCGCGTTGGTGATCTGCAGGTCGCAATCGGCAGCTTTCAGCTTCTCTCTCCCCATAATCTGCTTCTTTAAGTCGCAGAGGGAGATGTGGAGTCCATCAAAAGTGACGGTATCATAGTTGAGTTTAGAGGAGAATTTATAATGTACACAAGACATTGTGCCAAAAGGACTCCTACGGTTCAGCGAGGAGACGTGGACACTCTCAATATACGTATATTTATCAACTTTCAGAGCAAAATATGTACACACACGAAAAAAAAACAGACACCGAAGGACCCTAAGGCCTCCAGATTAAATACCCCTCCCCAACCACAAGCAGGGGGTTCGTAAGAACAATAATCCAGGACAACCCCCGCCCTCGGAGACTCAGAAGCGCTTCATAGAGGGGTTGGAAGAGGGTTTGGGGTAGGGGGGTGGGGGTGGGGGCGGGACAGGGAAAGAGAAGGGAGTGTGGAAGAAGAAATCGAGAATCCGCCAACCGGCACAATGTCACCCGGCTGGATCCCGCTCGCTCATGCTAAAAGCCGCAGGAGACGGATGGGGGGGAGGCTGAGGGGGGGGGCCAGGCGGTGCAGTCAGTAGCGGCCAGTCCACACGTTAAAAGAGTCCGAATGACCCCCGCGGGGGGTCAGGGGTCCATAGCGCGGCCGCACCTCCCGGCGGATCGCTTTCTCTCTTTTCCGTGGATGGGGGGGAGGAGTGACCCGGGCCCCGGGGAAGGCCGCAGGGAGAGGGCACTAGGCCCCCCGAGTCCACGAGCGGCCTTCTCGCCTCCTCCCGGC